TAACGAATTGCCAGACCTATGAAGTAATCATTCAATGGTTAAGCATCTGTGAATGTTGCACCTAGTAACGAACCGCCCCCTTTTGCAGAGGGTGGATTTAATTAAATAGATCCAAAGCGACAGTACTGGGAGATGACAGGACACTAAGAAGACTAAATAGGTCCTTAAGAAGACACTAAGAAGAAATACCTGTCTCACTTGTCATAATAACTGGCAATACTCATGGAAATACTTGTTTTTATTAGAAGCTGTCGTATTTTTTGAACCACATCGTTACAATCTGACTTTCTCGAGAGAGTCTCATCTTAATTGCTACTTTTCCATGTTTACTTGTCCTCCCAATTTTCCCCATTTGATTTACCTGTTCTCAGTGGAATGAGTAATGAGCTAACCTTTACATTCCTATTCTAAGCTAAGTGCCACCTTATAAACACATTTAAGGAATGCAACGCCAGTTGAATTGGTTTAGATTCCCAAAACAAAACATAGGATAGCAATTAGCTAATTAGCCCGAGGATTAAATGCAAAGGGAGATAGTAATTATCTTTTTAGCGTAATATTCCAGTCTTTCTGAACAAAGAATAGTGGCATTCCAACAGATAATAACTTCCTTGTCTGGTATATAATAAGCGTTGCAACGACGACAATCAAGCTTGATTTATGGATCAAGGGTTCGTCAAATAGTCGCCCACCAAATCAAGCCCAATTCACATTCCATTACATCGAGGTGTTCAAAATTCCTCAACAACACCTATCATGCCATATGGAGTCCCCTGGATTTGGATTTCAATTCCAGCAGAGCAGGAAATCCAATGCAACTTGACCTGGTTTTCTAATTTTATTCTTTTTGTCCATTTTATAATCATTTTTTAATCAATCAATTGCTCTTTTTCCTCCCCCACCTGTAAAATTTTACAAAAAGTTTTGTTCACATAATTCGATTGTTATCAAAATTGGCGTACGGACTTATTAGGCCATGGCAAACATATTTGGTCTTCATTAATAACCTTCTAAAACCACTCGTTACACCATAAAGATGATGCTCGTGTGAGGTAGGGGGTGGGGGTTAGGAAGAAGAGCCCAATCAGATTACCGTGAGTCATTGGCAAACCTTAGCCACCTGTTTTTGCTAATAAATTTGAATTAAGATACATACCTCAACGAGCTGAAAAAAAAACAACAATTAGGCCAGTGAGGGGGCGGTTGTGAAACTAATAAACATGCTTTACAGTCTTTCCTTGTCTTATTTTCATGAGGAGAGAATAGTTAAGTATATCAACCTATCTGATAAAAAACGTTTCTCAGGGTTAAAGATTTGAGGATGTGAAAATATTTAAATTTTTCTTCTACGAATTATAATTTCAAAATTTAATTCATCAAGATCATTTAAATGCAGGTAATGAGCACATTTTTTTCGCAAAAAGAATGTAAATTTCCAATTCTATATTACAGATAAAAACGAAGAAAAGCTGCTAAAATAGACATTTTTAAAAGTACAAAACAATTGATCATGATATAAATTAATTGCATTTTATTTCATTTAAGTACACTAAGCGACTAAGAGCGTGTTGGCATAATTAAATGGAATTGCATTAATTCAACTCAGAATTAAGATGAAGTTTTGCCAGCAAAGTTCAGACAATAGTCTCTTGTCAGTGCCAAAACTTGAAAACTGCGCTCATAAAATAATGAATAGGGCAACCATCTTCCGCATATTATTTTGCCAAAGTCTTTTCCTTCTAATTTTGGCCTTTTTGAATCAATTTTGACTCAGTACTGTCCTTTTGAAATTTGATTGTACATCAAAATCGTTGCCTTCTTTCTACAAAAACAACAGGCATAGGGTTTGATTGCTTACCGCGTTTTTTGATTTGATGAAAAATCTCTCATTTGATGAAAAATCTCATCAGCAGTGGTAAAAACCCCAAAATCTTCGAATCAGAAACCTAGAACTGCATGAAAAAGTAGACGACACCTGGACAAAAGTTACAATTAAACCGGAGGAAAACAGCACAATTCAGACTAGAAATGACAACTGACTAGAATCGCTGAATGTTATGTCATTCAATACACGAAGTATACTGGATATAAATAGACGTATGAAACTTAGCAATATAATACTATCGAACAATTATGACATCATTTGCTTAAGCGAAACTTGGTTAACTCAAAATATCCCTGACAACGCGCTTTTTCTGCCTGCACACATAATAACTAGATGTGATAGACCTACCAACTCAACAAAATCGAAACACGGGGGCGTGCTTATTGCTGTTAAGCAATCCCTAGCTTTCACAAAACTTGAAATACACACTACGGACTGCGTTGGACTCCTCCTTAACACTCTGACACCTCTCATCCTATGCTGTATCTACAGTGCCCCGAACGAAAGCAAATATAAGCCATCCACAGATGACTTCAACAAACTATTGAATATGCTAACTGACTACTCAAATGAATTTCAATGCCCAAATATTTTATTGGTTGGTGACATCAACTTCGCTAATACGCATTGGCAAACCTTGCAATCAACCCAAAAACACGAACAATTAGTACTGCAGACTTTTACTGATATGAACTTTCAACAGTTTATCGAACCCCCTCATGACCAATTAGATATTGTCCTTTGCAACAACCCCGACATTATTTTAAACACCACGATAGACAACCATATGAAAAAACACTTCTCACACCAAGAAAGAGAATTATCAGACCACAACCCTTTTCTAATCACGATATCATCTCTTACACACAATGACGAAAAAGCCACTCCCAGACAACACGGATCCGACTTTCTGGACTTTGGTGTCTTCTCATTAAACAACGTCGATTGGATTACTTTAAACAAATACATTTTGGAACACCCATTTCAACCGTACTGCTACTCTAACATTGACCACTTAATCAAATCATGGTACCTCTGGCTATATATAGCACTAGAAAAACACATGAAAAAACAGACCAAACACCGTATGAACCTAGCACCTTGGATCACACCTGAAACCTCCAATATTATCAAAAGACTCAACACAGCATCAAAAAAAGTAGCCTTTAAAAATACTCATACTAATAACCGCAATCTTGAAAGACTTAAAAACCTTGTAGATCATTTATCCGAATTAGATCAGAAAAATTTCGAAGAATCAACTTTCAAGGGCAGAAGTTTCTCAAAGCTCCAAAATTACTTTAAAAGCATACGAAAAAACTCAAGTACTCCAAAAACAATGCACTGGAATGAAAAGAACCGAATCAACAGAGCACGGTAAAGCTAATCTTCTAAACAATTACTTCGTAAGAGTTTTTAACATTAAACAGAATGAAAACATTTTACCAATAGCTGAATTACCTGGCTCAATCAAATGCTTCAATTTCTCTGAAAATGAGATATACGACATCCTTAAAACATTAAACCTCCAAAAAGCAAGAGGATCAGATAGACTCGGTAACACAGTCCTAACCAATTTAGCAGATAGCATAACTTCATCTCTAAAACTGATTTATAACACCATCACCAACAAAGCAACATTTCCAACGATCTGGAAACTTAGCCAAATCATCCCAACTTTTAAAAATGGAGACAAGCAATCGGTCACAAACTACAGGCCCATCAGCCTGCTAACTGCAGTATCCAAAGTCTTAGAGAAACTGATCTTCCTTAAAATCTCACCAAAGATCTTCTCGCAAATCCATGACAGCCAATTTGGCTTCTGTCCTAAACGATCGACAACTCTGCAAATGCTCCAATTCCTCGACAAAATCTATGATGACTTTGATAACCCTAATATCAAGTCTCTACAGGCAATATACTTAGACTTCGAAAAGGCTTTCGACAAAGTTCCTCACGACTTGTGCATATATAAACTCAATAAATTTGGCATATCAGGAAACGCACTTAAACTATTAGCAAACTACTTAACCAACAGAAAACAGCAAGTACGAATAGGTGCGGCAGTATCCAACCATCTTGAAGTTAGTAGCGGCGTACCTCAAGGCTCACTGTTAGGGCCAGTATTCTTCATTACATTCATCAACGATTTACCGTCATCACTCACCAACTCGTGCTATGGTTACGCAGACGATTATAAAATTGTTGCAACGAACCCTTCCCTGCTCCAACATGACCTAATCACGATCAACTTATGGTGCAAAGATAATTCCATGAGTCTTAACTTGAAAAAATGTCACAATATAATATTCAAAGACCCCCAACTTGACCTAAACATGTATCTCGGTGACCATATACTTGAAAAAACCTGTTCAGAAAAAGACCTTGGTATACAAATAACCAACAACCTAAACTGGTCAGCACACGCAAAAATAAGAGCCCAAAAAGCAATAGGCTGCTTATTTTTAATTAAAAGAAATATTTCAAAATCAGCGAGCTTAAAAATGAAACACTGAACTCCTACTGTGGATATGTAACCCCAATTGTGTCATATGGCTCACCCATATGGAAAGCAAATAAGTGTGAATTAAGAATTATTGAAGATGTCCAAAGAAAAGCTACACGTTGGATACTGTCATGTAACAACATCAACTATAAAGACAGAGCCAATTGAGCTATCTCCCCCCCAGCAAAAATGAATAAACTCTACAAAAAGACGTCAGCAAACGCTAGTAGATGGATGGTGTGTTTATAGCACGCAATCAATTGACCGACGGAAGTTTGTCTTAACTGAGTATCGAGAAAAATTTTGAAAAAAAAATCGAAATTTATGAAAAAAATTTTTTTTTTGCAAAATTTTGTTTAGGCGACCATAGCCTCATCGAAGAAAGCGATTTACCAGGGTTGGTGCTCTAGCCTTGTATCTGAATAACAAAAACGGTTCTCCGCAGCACCTTAATATTGTACGCAAAAACTTTTTGTCATTTTAAAATGCTTTATGAATTCATGTCATTCAAACTATTTTCAAGTGGTTATAAACATGTCTCAAGTACCTATTGAGCTATCTCCCCCCCACGCGAGAATGGGGGGGAGATTGCTCAATTGATCCGGTTTTTAAAATGCTGAATGTAGTTTGCTTGAGTGTTTCCATCAATTGTAATACTTCATTCATCTATTAGCACACTGGTAGCATACGTTCGATCCTTCCACCGACCTCCTACATAACCTACACTTAGTGATTGTTGTACTAGCGATGACTCTGGTTGCATGTGCGTAGGGCGGGAAAGTTGTCGCGTTATTCAGCATGCGCCGTCTGTTAGCAGCGGCAGCAGCAGCACCTGTTGTGGTCGTTGGATTCAGTTGAGAGCTCGGAGGGTTGACACTGTATGACGTGGAGGAGAGGTGTTTGGAGTAGTTGTTAAGGGAAGGACTTTTGGTGGTGTTTCCTATTGAGGACGACACTGATGAGTTGTATTGTGACGCCGGCCTAAACGTTACAGAATCAAAGAAGACAGAAGAAATTAGAGGCCAAATTGCTCGAACCAAAGGAGCATCATCCCCCCAAGTGAACATCGTTCCCCTAGGGGCGAGAAGGCTAACTTGGTTCTCTGAGTTCGAATTTTTAGCCAATCATTTTACGTGCAGAGCTTAGCAACTTCAATTTAAATTAAACTCGGCGGGGGGATCTTCACTTGTTCTATATGGGGTGAGGAGGATGTTAATTTGACCCAAGTAATCAAACACAAGCATAATTCAACACAAAATCTAAATGTCCAACTAATGGGAATATAACAAAAGCTCTCGCTTACGTTATAAAAACCTAACCAGTTTGATGAAAGAGCTTATTAAGAGCGTATAATATTTTGATCAGCAGTTTTATTTCTGCCTTAACAAGAAAACGTGAATACAGCCAACAGAAAGTTGGAAAATGTCAATGAACTCAACAAAACCGAAAAATCGATTGACTTTTTTCGCTCTATGTACCATTTCTGTTAATCAGGAGCGAATTTCGACTTCTTTTTAGCAAAAAATATTGAATTTCTATTAGAAAAGTTTAACCACTACCAAGAAAAATTGAGCGTGACCAAGTTTTAAGATTTTTCTTTAAAAAGTCCACGGCTTGAATCAGTGTCTACACTTCGTTCGCTGATACTCAAACACATTTATCTTTTTTGTTTGAACGGTATGTATATTTTTGAATTTAAAAGCTCGATATACAGAAAGTCGATATGGCATTACAGACCTTTTAAAAATCACCACGCTGCTACTTAAATTAGGAAAAAAGTAAGCACGGAACGAGCTGCATTTCGAAATATCAACAAACTATGGTTGCAACAGCTATCAACAAAAAAAAACAATATCTAGAAAAATAGCAGGTAAACCGCACTAAGAACATATGATTGTTATTGTTGTTGCTAGGAGCTACTTAGAAATAGTCTCATTACTCTAGAAAACAAAACTAAGGTTAATGCTTAAGATTCATAAGACTGGTATTTGTTTATAAGGCTACAAAATACCAGGCTGTTATCAATTATGTTGATTTGTAATTAACCATTCTTTAATTTAGTAACGTACTTCTATGGTGCTTGCATGTATCTAAGTAATTAATCTCATCCATACATAAATTTCAGATTTTGGATTGTACATTGGTCGTTCTGCCTCAATTCAATATATTTTATCCAACTATATATTTTAACAAATGGTAGCAGGAGGTAGTTCGCAATGACCTCATACAAGAACCCACCACCTTTGAGCGATGCTATTAGTAATGATTGCTGGCGCACGGAAATGGACATTTGGCGGAGAAGAACAGAGCTGGCAAAAGAAAAACAGACCCTTGCTGTTACTCTATCGCTCTCCGGTAATTATAGGGAAACTGCAATTGCATTGCCACTAGAATCATTGGAAACAGCAGACCGAGTGACAAATCTGCTAAAAGAAACAACAGACAGCGCATATGAAGCTTATCGAAAGCTTTCGGTCCAGGAGACCTATCAATGTCCGAGTTCCTTATTGAATTTGAAAAGCGCTATACCAAGCTGAAAACTCATAACATAAAGCTCCTAGAAGAGTTGCAGGGCTGTAAACTTCTCGAAATTGCTTATTTGCAATAGTGTCAGAAGCAAATAGTGCTATCGGCCGTAATGAGCTTAAAATACAGTGAAGTCAAAAAAAGTCTTAAGAATGTTGCAAGGAATTGGAGAAATCGGCGAAGAAAACATTGGATCTGATCAACCAGAAGTTTTTTTTCACAAATTAGAACAATACAAGAACCCTGATCGACGCAAAAACGATTTCAGAAAGACGATACGCGACAAAGACAAAGGTGTTTCCTATTTAGGACGACACTGATGAGTTGTATTGTGACGCCGGCCTAAACGTTACAGAATGAAAGAAGACAGAAGAAATTAGAGGCCAAATTGCTCGAGCCAAAGGAGCATCATCCCCCCAAAAGAACATCGTTCCCCTAGGGGCGAGAAGGCTAACTTGGTTCTCTGAGTTCGAATTTTTAGCCAATCATATTAGAGCATTTAACGTGCAGCGCTTAGCAAGTTCAATTTAAATTAAACGCTGCGGGGGATCTTAACTTGTTCTATATGGAGTGAGGAGGATGTTAATTTGACCCAAGTGATCAAATACTATCATAATTGAACACAAAATCTAAATGTCCAACTAATGGGAATATAACACAAGCTCTCGCTTACCTTATAAAAGACAACCAGTTTGTGTCAGAGCTTATTAAGAGCGTAAAATATTTTGATCCGCAGTTTTATTTCTGCCGTAACTAGAAAACGTGAGCACAGAGAAAGAAATGCATGACGTTAAAATCTGTTAACTCTAAAATATTTGATGGGTTGAGTGACATTTGAAAAAACTGCCCCAATTTGAAAAAGATGGGCCATACTTCATTTTTTCATGTCACTGGGAAACTTTACTACATTTTAGACACAAGTGTCATTTAATTTTTCGCTCTATGTAGCATTTCTGTTAATCAGGAGCGAATTTCGACTTCGTTTTAGCCGAAAAATAATGAAGTTCAATTAGAAAATTTAACCACTAAAAAGAAAAATTGAGCGTGAACAAGTTTTAAGATTTTTTCTTTAAAAAGTCCACGGGTTGAATCAGTGTCTACACTTCGTTCGCTGATATTCAAAAAACACATTCATCTTTTTTGTCTGAACGGAATGTGTATTTTTGAACTTAAAGGATCGATATACAAAAGCTCGATATTGCATTACAGACCTTTTATAAATCACCAAGCTGCTACTTAAATCTGGAAAAAAGTAAGCAAGGAACGAGCTGCATTTCGAAATATCAACAAACTAAGGTTGCAACAGCTATCAACAAAAAAATAAACAATCTTGAAAATTAGCAGATAAACCGTTTGAAGGCCATATGGTTGTAAATGTTGTTGCTATGAGCTTTTTAGATATAGTCTCATTAATCTAGAAAAGAAAACTAAGGTTAATGCGTAAGATTCATAAGACTGGTATTTGTTTATAGGGCTAAAAAGTACCAGGCGGTTATCAATTATGTTAACTTGTAAATAGCCATTCTTTAATTCAGTAACGTACTTGTCTGGTGCTTACATGTATCTAATTAATTAATCTCATCCATACATGTACTTCAGATTTTGGATTGCACATTTGTAGTTGTGCCTCAATTCAATATATTTTATCCAACTATTTATTTTAACAAATGGTAGCAAGAGGTAGTTCGCAATGACCTCATACAAAAACCCCAATCTAGAGATTAAGAGTCGAACGTTCTCGCATCTGCGCCATGGTTGCTTGACAATCGTCAAGGTCGAGGTAGGGATTTCCAGCCGATTACATTAACAGAATCTAACGCATACGTAGACAAAAGGATTACAGCCGATATCGAATATAACCAAGATTTTTGAAAACAAGGGAGAAAACGACAAGCAGCAGCTCTAAAAGTGAAGAAGGAAAAAAGTTGAAAGAAGCTTCAAATTAATAAGACTTTTGCTATCTGACGGTTTCAGATCTGCGACCCAAAAATTTGGAGCCCACGTGCCATTGAAAACTTCCTAATACTAACCATCAAGGATGCAGCTATATCTGCCAAAACATTGCCAATACTACGCAGCAAAATGCAACCAAAAATAAAGCAAGTCATAAGTGCGGCATTGAACCTCCGACCAAAAGCTTAGGAACCTCACGTCCTTCCCTTTCCTTTGACTAACCTCATGCAGCAAAAGTGCAACCAAATGAGCTTCTTCATTTGCGAGTTGGGTTGGAAAAAGTAGATTTGTAATTTTACACTTAAGTATACTTGCGTATAACTAGCTGGCGTAAATATACCAAAAAAAGCAGAACACGCAAACTGAGACCTTGCAACCTTATCTACTGCATTATAGGCAAACTCAAGATCACCACTAGATCTTTCGGACTTAATGAACTCATGCTTAGTAAGCTTTCGCATATTCTTGATTATTGAATATAGCCATAGACAGTTGAAAAAGAGGCAATGCACGCAAGTATACAGAAAAAAAAATCACTTTTTTTTTTGAAAAAACCTCAATTTTCGAAATTCTAGGAAAAAAAGATGCCCTTGAAGCTCTTTGAATTTCTAGAAAAATTTAAGACTGGCACTTCTTTGATAAAAACTAACCTAATTTGAGAAAACTGGATCAATAAGTAAAATTTTATTTCGATGGGAAAACCGAAAATTAAATTTCACTCTCGAAACCAGAAGTCGATCACGTTTTTCGTGACTTTTCAAATTGTGGTGTTCGATAGTGGAGTTTGCCTTTCTTTCAACAAAAGAAATGAATTATTTTGGAAAAACTAACCGATCTTTTAGCAAAAGCGTTGCTTGAGCAGAGAAATAACTTGCTGTTTGAAAAAATAGGTTACACGAGCTCTGAATACGACCCTAAAAAGTCACTTTAAAGATGCTTTCTGCCACCGAAATGATGTCCATTCCCATATTTTTACACTTACCGTGGTTGAAACAATAAAGGCCAATCGTTTTAGAGCCTACAAATCATTTAAAAGATGATTTATTTGCTTAAATATCAAAGTGAATATTTCCGTTGAACCTTGACAAAGTGAATATTTCCGTATTGATTGTAAACTGCTAAATGTAGTTGAGCTTCAATCATCTTCGCTTTACAGTTTCCATTTTCTTACTTACTTGTAGCTTGACCCTCTATTTGCCCCAGTGTAGTTTGATGAACTAGGAGGTACGGATGAGCTGAACTGGTATGATCTAGTGCTCTGGAATACATACTGATCACCGCCACTTCTCGGCACATTTCGACGACTAGCCACACTCCGATCCGAATCCGAGCTGTACTGGTCGGCTGAGTCACTTCTCGTGTTCGAATTTCGGCTGTATTTACTATTTGCTACTGGAATACTACGACTTTGTACATGTTTAATTACAGGCGAAGCGACATTTTGGTCGATTTTTAAATCTCTAGGCAACGTTTGGGGTTTCGGAACTCTTTCTGCGTTCACTCGACACACGCATTTGAGCTCATTGCAACTTCGGCATTTACGAGATAGCTGCTGCAACTCGGCGCAATATTTTCGCTCAGCGCTGTCTAAATAACTTCGAATCATATCTGCAAAATATCCTGGCTTATTAGCAATGTCGACTTTAGCTGCGATGAATCGTTTATCAATCTGCTGACTGATACTAAGTAATGTCAGAGTTCTCTCCACTTTGTCAATTAGCAAATTATTTTCCTGCATCAGTTCCTTGTTAATAATCTCCGATTCATTCGGTATTGCACTTGAGCTGGAATTGAAACACTTTCTTAGCTTGCGTCCTAAATTTCCAAATATGGAACTTTGCTTTTTAACCACCTTCGGCTTAGTTGTGTTACTCGCCGATTTACCCGAGCTTCCCAGATTTCTCGGGCTGTTTCCAGCCGAGTCCTTACTACTATTACTGCGGGATCTGGTATCCGCATCTCCCAAGCCTCCTTGCATAGTTGCACTTTTTGTATTCAGTTTACTCTTCGACGTAGACTTTTTAGATCCCAACGATGCACTTCGGTTACTTTTACCGTCCTTGCTTTTCGACTTCATTGCTACTGCCTCTCGATCGCCTTCGCCGTTTGAACTGTGATTGGTGGAAATGATTTCGACTTCATTAGGGTCAATTTTGCGTCCAGATAGAGATATTACTTCGATCTTTAAGTACTTGTGCATTAAAAATAATTTGTCCTCGGCGGATAGTTGGTTCTGCTCCAAGAAGTCTTCGTTCTCCATAAGAGCCCAGTCGAAGTCGGGTCCCGGGTCTATGGGGAAGTGTATGTGAAGCAACTCTCCCACTGAATCCGTTAGAGGGATGACAACTGGAAGTAAATTAATTAGTTAGCAGCCGAAACTGACAAGTGAATTCATGGTCACTTCAACAATTAAAAGCCAAAAAAAAGTTCACGCATTTCAAAACAAAAAAATGCTAAACATAGCCAGCAGAAATGTTAACGAACGCAAGGAAAACAAAAAAAAATCATTTTTTTTTGGACCATTTTCAGGTTTACCAAGAAAAATAAATCACAATAAAATTCCTTGAATTGTCAGAAAATTTGATGATTGATACGTTTTAGTTGAAAATCAATTTTTTGAAACGAGTTATGCATTTTTTCTGATTCACTTTTACGATTTACTTTTCAACATTCTTTCACGTTTCGAAACAAGTTGATCACGTTTTGCTTTATTTCTGCTTTCATTATTGGAGCGCGTAATTTCCTTCCATTTGATAGATGAAATTGAAGTGAACTTACTCAAAAACAATCACATCTTTTTTAAAATGGCAGGATGGTATCAACACTTGAAGTATCAAAAAAATTTATATAAAAAAGAAGGGCTCCGACGCGATTATAACTTATTAAGTAACCTCAAAATATAACCTCAGAGGTAATATAAAATAGATCAAGGTAATTGTTTGCATCTGACCTGGAGGTCTTTCTACACTGTTTGTGGTGCTGTCTAGAGTTGTGTTTCCGGGTGGCTCCATCGGAACAAGTGCAGAGAAGTGAGCGGCGTCGAATGTTAACAAAAGAGGAAAGCTGAAACAAAAAAGAACCGTGTAAATAAGGTCACAAAAGGATCACTTTATTTAAAACTAAATCCTAATACATTATTAGACTGATTGCGGTATGAAAACCTTTTCCTAAAGAGGCTCAACTTGAAAACGAGCTCACGGAAATGGCAAACGCAAAGAAGTGAAGTTTCTCTTCGCATACACAAGTGGACCAAAATGGGGGAAATTTTGATTCAGATTTAATATAGGCGTAGCTTGACCAAACTTGCGATACTGATACAGACTAATTACAAATGAAACCTACCATATGCTTTCCATGTTTTTTCTTTAATTTCAGAAAGAACTGAAATCGAAATAAACCAGAACAAGAACTAACAAAAGTTTCGTCCAAAACATACAAAAACTTACAAAATAATTACTTGATAGAAAAAAACTTACAAGATAGAAAAACAAAATCATTCTGAATTCCATAAAATGCATTAAAGCTTGTCGCTACTAACTCTTAATTTCTTCCAAATTACTAGAGCTTGGTCATTAAACCAAAAAAAATACATCAACAGCGTGCCCCATATGCAAAAAGATTAAATGCAAAAAAGTTATTTGATTGGAGTTATCGAAATTTTTCGATATTTTGACCAACTACTAACTCGTCTGGTCGCGTCTCGCATTATGATGGAAACCTAGCGACAAAAGGAAAATACGGCAAAACAATACTCACGAAACATTCTAATAAAAACAAAACAAACTCGAACATTGTTGGAGTTTGTAAAAACAAAACAAACTCGATCTAGATAAGGCAGTCAAATACCACAAAAATGAAATTATTGCAGAAACATTTACGTCATTTCCAAACAAGGACAGCCGGTTGCTTTGCAAGTAGCACAGAAAGTTCCGACTATATTCTTAAAAAAGACAAGTGTTTTTTCAGGCTTTTTTAAAATTAGTGTTGATTTTTGTTCGTGGTGTGATGAAAGGATATGAAGAAAACATTAAATTTAGGCATATTTGACAGTCACGTTAGGTGGAGAAATCAGGCAACGATTTTAGTCAAAAAATGACTAGAAAAAAAACTTAAGTTCAAAAAGTCAAACCTAATTAAGTCTGTTGATTTTTTTCATGTTTTTGCAGAAATTGTTTCTTATTCTAAACTTGGCGCTGAAACAACTTCAACACATAATTTTATTAGTAAAAACTAAAGCTGAATGGCTTGTCTTCTCTTCTATGATAAGACTGCTCGCTTGCTTTACTCGCTCAAAATTGGACTGAAACTCAAAAACTTTAAACCAGTTGAGAAAAACTGGTTCGAAATTTTGAGTTTCAGTCTAATTTTGAGCGAGTAAAGCAAACAGTCTTATGAACACATCTTGTCGCAACAATATTTGCAACTTAGGTTGGAAAAAAAAGAGACTTCTTACTAAAACACAAGCTATTCTTGCGTAAACAAAGTTCGAATAATATATTTCTTGTGTTTGAAAAGATGAGGAAAACCAACACAAAAAGTTGTCCTAAAATCGCGTATCAGAATTTTTTCATCGGCAAAATTTCTTGGAATTCAACTAAGCGCATCACTAATTTTAACTCCCAAGAAAGCACTTAAAAGAATCTTTGAAAACTAATTTTACTGGAGTTTCCAAGGCTTAAATACAGATTTATCCTAATAAAAGCCTCCTCGACACAGAACTTTTAAACTTTTTAAAATTACGTCCGAATGACTTAGTCCGGTAAATATTAAGAAAAACAAAAAATATATAGCCAACTGACAGTTGAAAAAGAGTAATGAACGGAAAACAAACAGACTTTTTGTTTGAAAAAAATTCAAGTTTCGAAGTAAAAAAATTGCCCTTAAAGCTTATTGAATTTATAAAAAAATAAATGAGTGGTGTTTTTTTGATAACAATAATCCAATTTGACTCCAATCCAAAACTTAATCAACACTTAGACGTTTAATTCCGCTGCTAAATCTGATAATTGAATTCCCATTTCGCAACTAGAACTCGATCACGTTGTTCGTGACCTTACTCTTTTGCTGTTCGATGGAAAGGAACTAAACTAAAAAAAATCAAAAATCAAGCCGCGAAAAATCAAAACTGAGCTTGGACAACCTCTAGGATTTTCCTGAAAAAAAATCGTCGCGACCTATTTAAGAGTCTCAGCTACGTTCATTACTTTTAAAAACTACAACACACGTAAATACTCTTCCTCTTCCATTTCAATGGCCCGACCAACAAAAAAAAATATAAAATTCAAAGGAAATGGAGAAACTTTTTGTAACCCATTTTGATTGATGAGGGAAAGCATTCTGGAAAAAACGACTTAAAAAATTAAAACATAGTCAACAGACAGTTGGAAAAAGGTCAAGTAACGCCAAAAAAATCAAAAAGCTGAGAAAAGATGGCTTTTAGGATCCTTGAACATCTAAAACAATTTAACATTGACACTTTTTGATACAATTAACCCAATTTGAAAATCTAGATGAGGTAAATTTAATTTCTGTTGGGAAATCTGAAAATTAACATCCATTTCCGAAACTGTACGCTTCTGCTGTTCACTAGTGCGTTTTTTTTTCGGCGCGCGCTCCCCTTCCAAGTAAATATATCTTGTCGCCACAGGTGCCTTTAGAAAAACTTTCGGGTTGGTCCACCTAAAATGGATGCCAAAAAATAGTACCAAACGGGGGACCCTTTGGTTGGTGAGAAGGCCGAACCCCTCTCCTGAATTCGTCCCTGATCACGACTTATATAGAAGTATTTATTACGTTCATCGGCTCTTAATTCAAAAATTATCCAATTTTCATACTCCTTTAGAATTATTATATTTCGAGCCCTCCTCCAATATTTCAACAAAGGCGAAGCTGCGCTTTGCAAACACATGCGAGAACACGAGAAAAAAGCAGCTCTATTAGGTGAAATAAGAAAAAGTAGAAATAGGCCTCGAATTAGCAAAAACTCGGCTACGTGTAGGATTCGAATCTTCGACCTACTGCAAACAAAAGACTTTGAGTCTCACGCACTATCCACTCAGCCACGCTAGCTTAACAACCTACAAATATTAGTCACGAACAAAGCAGCTACATAGACCAGAAATATTTTAATTTAAACAAATCACTTTCTTCGGTTCATTTGGTGAAATGAAAATGCATCAACTGTGTTAACTTATTACTATTCGAATGTCAAAGCACATGCTATGAAAAAGTTGTAAAGGTGCCCCAAATTTGGCACCAATATTTGCAACTTCGATTGGAAAAAACAAGGTTCACTCGCTTCGCAAGTGTAAGAAACAGGAAATTTTACAACAAGGAAAATCTGTGGATATTTTGATTGCCTTGTTAGGTCAATAGAGTAGTGTTTGCTTAGTTTTAAGAACGTTAACCCCACACACAATGTAAAATACAACAAGACTGCTCGTATCAGGGCGAAGCCCTGAATGTTCCGACTACCTTTTAGGGTTTATGGGGCAGTAATAACATTAAAAAATTCAATGAAATAAAACAAAATAAAAAAAAACTTTTTTTCTTAAATTTGAAATTTTTTATGAAAATCATCCCCCAACACGCCATATAAAGTACAAAAGGATAGATTTCGTTCCTTGTAACAAATCAATTATGGCAAATAAGTTTCGTTCAACCAATTTGGAACGATTTCAAAGACGGATTAAATCTCCGCTTACGCGTTAATAGCTCGAATTATATCGCGCGTTAATTGTCCCAAATTGGTCAAAATAGCCAAAATGACACCCTTTAAACCCTCATAACTTTACAAAAAATGATCACAGGTGAAATATTTTTCAAATTTAAGCTCAGGACAACAATAACTTTCGAATGATATAAGAAAATTCCGTCAAAAACGGCTAGTTAAAAAGTCTAAATTTGTCTGAATAAAAAAAACCACCCCGAGCACAAATATTCCCTTACTTTCGTATCGAAAGTCAGAACAATAACAAACAGACTAACATTCTCATAAACAAGGCATTCCAGAGGGTAATATGCTTTCTTTTCGGCGAATAAAATCGAACAGCAAAAAAATCAGATTAGACCGTGATAAAATTTCGCGACTTTTTCCTTTAAAAAAAAAACAAAGCAAAAAAAGGACCTACATGCCTGTCTGATCTTCGTCCATTGACTCTTAATAAAGCAGGCTCCATTTCTTAAATATAAGTAAGAGAAGCCGTTTTGCTAGAAAACTGTCTTAATTCCCGAATAAAAGACAATTGCACTCGCAAGTGTACATGCCTGCTAAATAATACATTTATTAACTTCAGATCATACGGGATTCGAGACTTGGCCACTTGAGATTTGCAAACATAATAGTCATTTTTAATTTGAGCTCGAACCTACATTGTTTTTAGAAGCAGAAGGATATTATGGGAGTGCGGTCTGTATTTAGACAACCGCGTGTTCATACTCGTAAGTAAGCAGACAAGTACCATATTAACCAATCAGAATCGAGATGAGAAAGCAAACTTACGAAATAAATAAATAATTGTTATTCATTTCTTCCTTGTCTCGATTCTGATTGGTTAATACAGTGTTTGTCTACTTACTGACGAGTCTGAATACGCAGTTGTCCAAATACTGCTATGTAACCGATATTATGTCACATAAGAGAATGACTGGGAGGGGTCACTCACTGATGACATTGTTGTGAGTTGCACTCTAGTGGCAGGTAAACTCCTCCGAAGGGAATGGGTGCGAAGTTCTCGCCCCTGTTGTCCCTCAGGAACAAGTCCGCCACTATGATGACAGGTCTGCGCAGAATATTCGCCAGCAGGAATACGTGGAACTGAAACACCAAAAAAAACTATTTATTGATTAGATGAAGTAGTCTGCTCAGAGGCTAAGCGGATATCCGCATCAGTCATGAAATTATGAAAAAGAACTATTTAAATATACGTTTTTCCAAAGCCTGGCCTGAATTATTGAAAACTAGCTTGGTTCATGAACATTCACTTGAAAAACGCGTTCTTCTTTACTGAAACCGAAAATGAAAGAAAAGACTATTTTTCGATAACTTAGCCGACAGAAATTCAGCCGTAAAGCAGGAAGCCGAAAACCATTGGGTCATTATCAAAAAATCTCGCAAAACAAAAATTAATGATACCATTAAACTGAAAATCAAAAGCAAACAGCAGAACAGCCATTCATTGTTATAGAATCTGCTACAAAATCCACTGCCAAAGGCAACAAATGGCATGAAAAAGGTGCTTTAAAGTCAAGCAAGTAGATGAAAACGTATTTTTGAATGGAACGGGAAAACTTTGCTTCAACTGTCCTAAAATATTCGTAGAGTAGCTGAATCTAGTACTTGGTTTGATTTAAGAGCGCAAATCAAATGTAGACTTTCAAAGAGGCTAAAACATTAACTAAAATTTGTTGAAAGAAAAATCTCAATAAAAATTTTTTGATTTTTTTTTTGCTAATCCGTTGAATTTAATAAAAAATCAACAGTTACATATCATACAAGATGAGTTCTTATCAAATACACTATTTTTTAAGATCGTTTGACTAGAAGTTTAGACGAAAAACATCTATGGGCATGCAAACAGGTTTTAAAAAAGTATTTTAATTAACATTATATAACCCAATGATTCTATAAAAAAAAAAACATCTCATCTAGAAGAACGCAGGCAATTTGCCAAATCAAGTTAGACGAATCAAAAACGACAAATCAAAACAGCTATTGTTCTACATGAATTAGGCTTTATTGATGAAAAACTGATCGCAAGAACATTCAACACGAGGCGAAGCTGCGCTTCGCTAACACTAGCGAGAAAACGACAAAAGTTTGCACCCTAATGAGGACCTTTATCTGCGAGTTAGGTTGGAAAATAAGTGGAGTCATAGTAATACACTACACTGGTTAGTGTAAAACATAGCCAATCGAAGATTGGAAAAAACTATGAACGCAAGTAAACAAAAAAAACACCGACTTTCTTGAAAAAAAATCTCATTTTCGAATTTCAAAGAAAACAATAGATGCCCTTTAAGCTCTTTGAATTTCTAGAACAATTTATGATTGGCGCTTTTCTGATAACTTGAACCCAACTAGAGATCAATAGGTAAAGTTTTTATTCCGCTGGAAATTGAAAAATCAAATTCCACTTTCGAAACTAGAAACCGTTCAGGCTTTTTTTGCGCCATTTCCACGTTCGCATTTGGAGAGTGCTATTTACGCCACTTTCAGCAGATGAATTTCAATTGAACTCAATAAAAATCATATGTACCTGAGTGCAATCACAAATGTATCAATATGTATGAATGCAAATCTGTGGTTATTAGAGACTTTTTAAGCAAACAAAAAATTAGCAAGACCTTTAAGAGTCTTCACATCGTTCATTACTCTTCAAAAAATGAACTTGAGCTCAGTTAAGTAGAACAAGTATAGAATAAAAAGAATATGACCCTCAAGAACTAGCAAATAGGATTTCGAACGAAGTTACCATTTAGGAAATAACTAGAAAAACAAAAAAAATTTAAAAAAATATGTTTTTTTATTTTAAAATTTATTAAATTTTTAAAGGGGTCCTTGAGGAATTTATCTCAAAATAACACCGGAAAATTTCTAGGAAAATTCTAGTAAAAGAGCCGACAGAATTAAAGCAAGGATGTGGTATACACAATTTGGTAACTAAACAGACAGGGCGCAAGCTGTCAACAATGAAGCCAAAAAATGGTAGCGAAAAAAATATCGACTTTCTTTAATTATACATAAAATGCTTTGAACTCTGGCTGTAGCATTTTCCAGCAGAAAATAGTTTCAGAAATCGGTAGCTAAACTTGAAATTTCAAGATATTGAGCATATCAGCATCACAATGAAAAAGTTAATCTGAAAAAAAAACGGCTTTATCCCCATTTGATAACGCTTACTGAGCGCAAGCGTAAAAAGTACTACCAGAAACTTCGCGCTGTAAAATTTGATATACCACAAATATCAGCACGCGTCAATGTCAAAGGATGACGAGTAGACAAATATGATTTAAAAATAAGCAACTCAGCACTTCAATATTTCAATAATTCTGTGAGATAAAATTTTCCCCCGAAAGGAAGTTTATCCCAATTTGACAAAGAATCCCACCTCACTTTTATTCGCCTGTATCGAAAATAGGTGTAACAAACTCGCAGCTGCTTTGGATTCTATCGAGGTTTCTCTCTCTCTCCGAGTACTTACCTCTTCTAAACTCTCATACTGCTCACTGGCCATGCTGTCTACACTTGCACTTCTATTCGCATTGCTCATTGGCGGCTGATCTCTGTCTACCATTTGATTGGAACTAGTGCTAGTGGTTGTCTGTCTTGATTGTGAATGTTGCTGTGGTGTCCAACCGGAGGTTGTTGAACTTCTCATTCTGGTGTTGGAAAGGTTGGTCCTGGTTAACAAATACACTTGGTAGTTATTTTCAGATATTAACTCCACAGGACAGATGGGAGTCGTGAGTTATGACCGAAGTGTAACTCATAGAGTAATTTCGGATAGGGTACACCGTCTGCTCGTCACGCTATCTTATTTTCGGCCGGATAGATTCGTGCAACTTCTTAGTCTAATACCGATCCTAATCTTACTCTTATACTATCTAGTCTCAGGTTGTTTAACTAGTCTCTGCTAGGCTCAATAGATCTAGGGTATACTGGTTTATTGCGGCTGCTGAAGTGCTCGGGAGAGTCCAACTAATTTCTAAGTTAAATTCAAATCTCTCTGGTGCTGAAATTACAAGTAACTTCAGCACTTACAAATAAGTGGGTTGTTAGTTAGATGGATCATGATTGGTTAATATTAAATACTTTACATTGGTAAAACATTTAATTTATCCAATCATAAAATGTAGTTTAGATCAGGTTCCACCCATCCGGGTTTTACAGAGTTTTTTAGAATAGTTCTTCTGCAATTCGAAGGATGGATGATGGACGTTTGTTTTTGGCGAACATCATAATTTTCTTCCGTTTCCTCTTTTGTTAGGGAAGTTCCAGGAAGCTGGAGTTAGAGACATAAGACGTTGTGTCTTCTAGTGACAACGACTACGTCTTTGCAACAAACTCAAATCTGATTTCAGAATGGTTTACTATGTCAGGTTTTTCTGTTCTGCGTGGAGAACTTCTTTTGTGTATGATCTAGTTTGGGAATGGCGTGGAGATTGTGCGTGGAGGGGATGCCTGGTTACTCGGATCTGTACGTATACTTGAACATCGAGGTGGTCATTGGTCTAGTTCAATGAAGTCCTTTTCTGCGAGGTCAAGTCGTACTCTAAATCCTTTGAGTTGTGATTGTGAGCGGCATATCGATTGTAGTTGGTCATTCTCTCTCGAGTGTAGTGGGGTCGTCTTGTCTTTTGATGTTCGTCCTTGGTGTTGTATTCTGATCTATATATTGCATCATGTGATTTTACATTTTTTAAAACTTTTATTAGTTTAATATTTTTTAATAATGATTTTAGTTAGTTGTTTTCACAAAAGCTTTTTGTTTTAGTTCGGTTATTTTGAAGAGTTACTCACACTTGAGTAGCTCTTATTAAAAATAGTGGTGTGGTCACAAAGCGTGGATGTAGCGCGGTGGGTTAGGCCGGCTATAGAGCATGCTCAGGACGTCCTTCCTGGTGGGTTAGGCCAGGAGTGGGAGTATGATTTCATGCGGTTTTTGTGAGGGGTCCTGTTATGTGACAATGTTTTATGTTGAATTTGTTGTGGTCTTACTTATGTTTTGTTGGTTGTGTCCTTTTTTCAAAAATCAAATTGTTTGTGGTATGGGTTTGTCTTTCGACTTTTTTGTGTTTTATTATTTCTTTCTTAGACTTTATAATAGTCTTCAAAAGAATAAATTATCCAGTTTTAAACTGGGTTAATCCGGTTTGGGTACCGTTGGTTTCTTTTTCTAAGTCATGCTGTTATTCTATGATTTGTGGTATTTAGTAAGCTGCGTTGGTTAGTTTTGTTTAGTATATGATTCCTTTCCAACCGGGCTAAAGGAAAGTTTGAAACATGTTATTATATGTTAGAGTTGTTGAGTGTGAAAACTTGAAACTGAAATTCATTATTTTAAACAATTCTTCGTGGGCGAGCTGTGCGAGTGTGGATAGAATTTCTGTGCGAATGAATGAAAATATCAAAAGGTTAGTACTGCATTTGCATTTATTTAATTTACTACATAGAATTTAGAAATTTACTGCTAGTCATGGGGGAATATTAAGATACAAATTTTCATCATAATTAGATTTACTGCTTGTGGGGGAAAATTTTAGAAATGAATTTACTGCATTGGTATTAAATTTATAAATTTATAAGTGTAAGAGATTAATAGAATTTTTGAAATCTGTTTGATGAAATTTGCGATTTTTATTTGTCTTTTGTGGCTTTTGTAGGTGATCGTCGGATGAAGGCTAAAAATCTAAAGAAAACATGAATAAAGTATGGTGAGTTTTTTAATATTTTAATTAGTTAGTAATATTCATTTAATTCATACTTACCTGTTAGTCGTCGGGGAAAAAACCGTGGGGGAAGATGTCGTGAATTAGTTCTGAAGTTGTTAGTAGTTTAGCTAAGATGCGGATGATATTTTTAGTTTGAAGCAGTGGCCAAAGCAATTGAAGTGCCTTGATAGTGGTTAGTTCTTCAGTGCCAACTGCAAACTCATAAGGTGTGTTTTGGATTAAGTTATATAATTTGTGATTGAATTTAGTGTTGTGGATGAATTCTAAAATTGGGATTTCTATGGGTTGTACAAACTCGTGCGGAATAAGGAAGGGTCGGGATTCTTCGGCGTTGAAGGTCTTGGTAATGGGACAGAAGATGTACATTTGGGTTATGGGGTCATAATTACGAAGAATACCATGGAGGTTAGTGTCTTTAATACAATATGTGAAATTTAGGAAAAATGGTGAAGTGTATTTGGAATTAATGAATTGAAAACGATGGTGTGGTTGTCTAGAGGGTGTGTGTAGGTCAAAGTGATTTTGGATGAAACGATAATAACTATATGTGTGGGTTTGTTTAGTGCGCAACATAATATCGTGTGAGCAGTGTAAATCTCTTTCGTGTGGTGCAAGGAAATGAAAGGTTAGTGAAAATATTTGGAAGCGTTCTTTAAAACTTTCGTATGCTTGTGTGTCTGTTAGTGCTTCTGAAATAATGTGATCAAACTTTCGGTCGAAGATGTTTAGTGTGAATGTATATGGTGTCTTGATGAAAAATTTCTCGGTAATTTGTGGATTAGCGAAGCGATCGTCGTCTAAGAATTGATCTTGGTTAGCTCTGATGATGTTGTGATCATAGTATTCGAGTGTATATTCGTGAGCTCTAGGTGCAGTGTGTGTTTTTAGTGATTTTTTATATCCAACGTAAGTAAATTGTCTAGGTGTTAGTGGTGTAGTGAGTCGATATAGTATGTCCGTATTTCGCTCTATATCGATGTGAGTGTTAGATAAAGGTAAGCAAAGAGGGTTAGTGAAATGATAATATGAGGTCCAAGAGAGAGTAGGCATTAAAACGTATTCATCTACGAAGTTGCGTGTTTCGTTAGTGTCGTGGGGGGTGTTTAAGGTGTATTGTGGGAATGAGGGTAAGGTGATGGCTAAAAATTCTTTTGTGTTAGTATGCTTGGGGTGGTTGATGTATTCACGGGCTGTTCCTGGTTTTGCTGGGAAAGGATGGTTGGGGAACTTTCTTTTAAAAGTGCGGTAAGCTCTATTAGTGTTGAGTGAAGATTCAGTTGATGTGGATGATGGTGCTAGTGATTCAGTATAAGTTGAAGAGGGTGTAGGGGTAGGGGGGTTGGATGAATTTATTGTGGAGGAGATTTGATTTATGGTTGGGGTATTAAGGTGGTAGGGTTGTTGTTGAAGGGTAATAAAATTATCTAGCTCTGGGGAGATTCGGGGGGTGTCTGGAGAATGAGATGATTGATCAGAATGGTATGAGGAGTAGGTTGGGGTAACTTGGGAAGCATAAGAGGGTGTGGGAGTAATTGGGTCAGGGTTATTGGATAATATGGGTTGAAAAGGGGGTTGAGAAAAATTAGAAGAGTTATGAAAATTATTGGATGGGGATGGTTCTGAGTCGGCAAATTCATCGGGGGTTTCAATATTCGGGTTATTAAGTTGTGAGATGGAATATAAAACTGAGATGTGTGAATTAGTATCGGAATTCATGCCTGATGTTACATTACTAGATGGGAAATCGGGTGGCGGAAAAGCAAAAAGTGGTATTATTGGGATTGGAGAGGTAAGATTGGTTGGGTGGGAATTTGATCGGTGTAGTGATCCAAGTTGGCGGCTCATCGTGGGCTAAAAAAATGATTATTTTGAGACTGAAAAGCGGTGGTATGGGGTTGTTCAATAATTTGTTCATAAGTATTATCATCTTGTGACTGGTGTGTCATTATATGTTGAATGGGACTTTGTGATGTGGTGAGTCGAAAATTTGGATTATGTGTGATGGCTAAGTTTCGAAAATTTCGTGGGACTAGGGATAGTGGATGGTTATTTGGTAGGGCTGGTAATTGTGGTGCCGTTGGCGTTATGTCTACATTGTTATGTTCTTCGTCGTATGTATTTTGTCGTGTTGTTATTTTTGTGTTATATTCTTTTATTTGTGCGTCTAAAAGAATTTTGTTTATAGATGTAGAAAAGATTCCAAAAAATCCTGCAAATAGTATGCGTGCTACACTTGCTTGTCTGTTTACTTGTGTGTGTATAGCACATGTGTTGTAGATTCCTTTTAAAAGTGAGAAAAGAAATCCAATAAAGTTAAACATTGCGTATAAAATAGTCAATTTTTCTAAGATGTAGTAGGGCCATCCTAGAAAATCGAGGATCTCATTTTTGAGTGTAACAAAGCTAAAAATGTTAATTGGTGATATATCTTGGGGACGGTATTTTTCACCGTTTAGATATATGTAATCTTTAATGTCCTTAAAATATCCGCTATAGTCTTGCGTGTAGATATCGGCAAATCCTGCGGTTTCTGCAAATTTGCGTAAATTTTGGTCTATTGATTGTCTTTGTATAGTGTCCATTTGTGTTAATAATTCTTGGAATTGTTGTGTTCTAATGTGATGTTGAATATCTGATTTTGAATAGATTCCTATTGATTGTAAGTCTATATTTGGGTTTCGGGCAATAGCGCGAATGCTTTCTGGTGAAAATTTTTTGAGTGATTGCATTAATGTGGGATATGGAGTGAGAAGATAATATTTATTTTCATCAGGGTTTAGTTGTACTACATTGTGGCTGTTTTCTGATCCACATGGGACTGCGGTATCCCAGAAATAGGTTCTTCGTGAAAGTGTATCCATGAAATGTACTTTATTCTTATAAAAGATAGGGATTCTTTTATAACATCGTTTATCTTCAAAAACGTATAGTGGTGATACTTTTTTAGT